AAAAAGTACTCAAAAATCGTGCTTCTGAAATCATATTCATAGTTCGGCCAATCGATAAGAAAAAGATATTATTTTACAATGATAGGACAGCAAATTTTATGGTACACTCTATTTGGTTTTACTTATTTCATGCAAATCGAATAGTCACTTCTGCATTCATAGGTTGATGAGGAATTTCAAAAGTTGTGGCGCTCAGCCACAGTGGATGCCATGGATGATGCCAAAATTGATGAATATCTTGAAAAACAAGGTGAAGTATTACCCGTCACCTATTTTGTAAGCATTATTCACGTTTGTTTGGAATTCCACATGTAGGTATCCGTTCCATGCAAGATCATGGACCAAAGAAACCAGTACCAAAGCGTAAGAAGGCTGTAAGCAAGAAGCGACAGTTTAAGAAACCCAGAGATAACGAACATTTAGCTGATGTTTTGGAAACGTATGAGGACAACACTTTAACTCAGAAAGGTTCTAATCCAACATAAATAGTTTTAAATTTTTTTATAACAACAATTTGACTAAAATAATTTGATATCGATATTAACTCAGAAAGGTGTTAATCCAACATAAATAGTTTTAAATTTTTTTATAACAATTTGACTAAAATAATTTGGTATCGATATTATAACAAGTTTGTACATTTCTGGCCTTTGGAAAAAGCTTCACCAATGGGTACTAATTAGTTAAAATATTATTTGAAAAAAAAACAATGAAATATTGCTTTAAAGAGGCAGTGACCTAACTTGAGATATGTTTTTTTTTTATCAAAATGCCACATATACATCTGTGGTCATAAGCAATAATCGCCTAAGTCGAAAATCCTGAATTCGAGAAAAAACGCTTTAAAGATTTGGATTGTAATGCTAACCTTATGGGGAAACCTAAATATTTTCGCCTATAACTTTTTGATTAGCCTAGCTGGCTAGAAGGGGATTTCAGGTACGCATGGAATAGGGGTTGAAGAATACGATAGTATATGTAACTCCATTCTTTCTTAAGTCTACTTAGGCGGTTATTGCTTATGACCACAGACATATGTATGTATGTATATATTTATCTACCACATGAAAATATGTATTAGAATTGCTATTTGCCCTTAAGAAAACTTATTAAAACCGATAACCAATTAATTTGAAAATTAAGCTCTGCTATATTTCTGGCACCGCCAGAAAAGAGCAAGCCAAAAGCCAAATTACGAAACATATGTTTAACCTTTCTATATTGATTAACGCTTTCTAAAGAACCAGTTATGCCTCTTTGATTGCTTTGTTCGCAATTTTTGTTCTTTTTCTGGTCTCAAACTCTGTGGCCGTGAACTGTAAAAGAAAAACTCATAAATACATAGTATTTATGTAGATGCTCATATGCCTAGTATATAATATAAATAATATATATTTACAAGGTTTGCCTTTAAAATCAATCAACAATAAATATTATGCCAGATACGTACATATGTACAATTTTGCAGTCGCTAAGTACCTGCCCCACACATAATCAGCCAAGCAAAGTGGGTACCTAAAATTTACTTTTTTTATCTTGCGGTTACACCTTAGACGCGCTATTCTGTAAGAGTGTGGGTGATTTTTTAGTTTCTTTCGGTACGCTGTTCTCTTTTTTGTGCCAACAAACTTGTACGATTATTTGCACTGTAGTACGAGCAAGTGATATTGAAATTGGTTGGCTTATTTGCAGTCATTTCACATATAACCGCCTTAGTGAGCTGGCAAAACTTGTTTAAATAAAACCAGTGAAAACATGAGGGTGCTAACACCTTTGCTAGTGATATTTGTTTTAGGAGTACAAAAGTCGGGTGCATCCAGTGACGAGTGAGTTTGCTTTCACAAAATTTACTTATCATTTCAAGTACTAGAACTATTGAATATATCATAGTGGGTGCTGTGAACGCCATTTAGAATGTTCCACAAATTCTCATATTCTTCCCTTTCAGCCTTATATATGGTTACGAATGCCAAAACAGTAGATGTGTCAAAGTTGAGCTGGACGCACAGAATTTCCAGAAAGCGATAAGCCTACCAGTTTGTCGCCTGTTCTGTAGCGGCAGTGTGCCCGGCACAATATGGCCCCGTCCAAGTGGTCTCGTTAATTTTGACAGTTATATGCTGGCAGTAGACACAGAAAGTATAGAATTTCAATTGCCCAGTTTTAGTAAACAGGCACACCTTTGGGACGAAAGTAAAAATCGTTTTATGCGACTACTATACTCCGGGATACCGAATAAGAACGTTCTCAGAAAGGGCGGACGTCAGCTAAAAGTGTTGGTGGAATTAAAGTCAATCGTAGATGATGTGCTGCCCAAGCTTACTTTAGATACCGATGAGAGCTATTCACTGCGAATTTCCTCAGCAAATAACAGCGCAGCAACTGCCACGATTTCAGCAAGCAGCTATTTTGGTGCTCGGCATGGTTTGGAGACGTTATCTCAGTTATTAATATATGACGACATTAGACGCGAGATACAGATTTTAGCTCGTGCCGATATCGATGATGGCCCGGCCTTCAAATGGCGTGGTTTACTTTTGGACACTTCGCGAAACTTCTTCAGTGTAAAGTCAATTAAGCGCACTCTGGGTAATCTTATAATTTCCGTTACGCAATAATATAAAGATACATATATGTATATGTATACGTAGTTGCTATTAATTATTTTGTTATATAGATGCTATGGCCATGGTGAAGCTGAATACCTTCCACTGGCATATAACTGATTCCCATAGTTTCCCATTAGAAGTCAAATCTCAGCCTGAACTGTATAAATTAGGAGCCTATTCGCCACGTAAAGTTTATAGCCATGTGGAAGTTGCAGAGATCGTGGAATATGGTCGAGTGCGTGGGATTCGTGTAATGCCTGAGTTCGATGCGCCCGCTCACGTTGGCGAAGGCTGGCAGCACAAGGATATGCTGGCATGTTTTAATGCGCAGCCATGGAAGAATTATTGCGTGGAACCGCCTTGCGGCCAGCTGGATCCTACTGTTGAAGAATTGTACCCAGTGTTGGAAGATATATATCGGGAAATGTTTGATCTTTTCGACCCGGATGTTTTTCATATGGGCGGCGACGAGGTATCAGTCGATTGTTGGAATAGTAGTAAACGCATACAAAACTGGATGCTAGAGAAGGGATGGACTTTAAATGAATCCGATTTCATACGACTATGGGCTCATTTTCAAAACGAAGCTTTAATTCGTGTAGACACAGTTGCTCAATCTCAACAGCCACTAATTACCTTGTGGACTAGTCATCTCACGCAGGTGCCTTACATTGATGATTATTTAGATAAGGAACGTTACATCATACAAATATGGACGACTAAAGGCGACAATAAAATAAGAGACATTTTAAAACGTGGTTTCCGCGTTATAATTTCAAATTACGATGCTCTCTATTTTGATTGCGGCGGACCTGGTTGGGTTAACGATGGCAGTAATTGGTGTTCACCTTACATTGGCTGGCAGACAGTTTATGACAACGACTTGGACAGTATTGCTGGCGAGTACAAGTCCCAAGTAATGGGCGCTGAAGCAGCTATCTGGTCGGAGCAAATTGATGAGTTCACGGTGGATTCGCGGTTTTGGCCACGGGCTAGTGCCTTGGCTGAACGTTTATGGTCGAATCCGAAAGAATCTTGGAGGCAAGCCGAAGCGCGGATGCTATATCATCGCCAACTCTTGATAGATCGCGAGATCGGGGCGGAATCAATGCAGCCAGAATGGTGCCTTCAAAACGAAAACCAATGTCCAATAAATGCATATGATGCAAAATTTTGAACTTAAGTTCGTTACTTAATATGCTCATGATCGTCTTAATACTCATAATATTTCCTATACTTGCAAATGTATTATTATGAAATGAATCCAGGTTGCAATAAAGATTAAGGGCTTGAAATTAAATATTTAATATTTTTCTTTAATGATTATAGTTAGCTTATGAGATATATGGGTGTATACTAGCATAAACGTACATACTTATATATGTGGTTACATTAATATGGTATAGCAATATTTTATAAAGAAAATGTGAATCTATTATCTAACTTAACTTTATGATTGGATAGCTCTTCAAAAATTATTGCTAATTTACTCGTTCCAATCCTCCTCGTTTCGGCCAAACTTGTAAACAAGACTCCCAATAAGAATAAGAACATTTTGCATGAGAAGGGCTACACCAGGCCAGTTGTCTTTTTTGGCTGTTAGAAAAAAGAAAAAATCGTTGAAATTTCAAAATAGCTAAATACTTATTTAAAACTCTTTGGAATAGTAGTTGGGCTGGGAAGAGAACCGCCGCGAATAAAGAAGTTCCAATATTTAAATACTCTTAAGTTTGAGGCGCATTGACAATTAACTTACTATTATTGATGAAATCATCGATCATAACCCACACTGCTGCCACAATCGAAGCAAATCCCATTACGAATCCAATGAGTAGCCAAATTTTTGCAATTTGGGCTCCAGACTCTGATGTATTCTCTTCAGAAATCTGTTAAATATAACATTGAGCATTGGACTGTGAAGCAGTGGTAATTATTTAGCTTACGTGAGAATTTTTGACAGTGTTCACCATGAAAAAACTGATGGTACCGAATACCCCTATAAATACATGCCCAGTAGTGATCTGGTGTTGGCTATCTACTGACATAGCATCGATCAGAACCCACCAGCCTGAAAAAAACTACAACAAAAAAATATATAAATATGTTACTGCTTTTGTAAACAAAACTGAGAAAATAGAGGTCCATAATCCGCCTGCACTTACAAGGAATCCAGCAATCAATGATGAATTTTTGTTACGGGCTGTCTCGGAAGTGAACCACTCGCGTACATTTTCCAACAAAGTCATTGTTACAACACAGGATTTTTTCCTTAAAAATTTTCTCGCTTAATAAAAATGTTGACTATTTCGCAACTAGTGATGGCAGCTATTAATTATTTGCTTAAATCAATCGATTATTTTTGTCCAATTTCCGATTTACACCCATATTCGCGTGTTGTCACAGCCAGTGCTGCCGCTGCACTTCAATTGAAGTTTTTAACTTCACTTTGGTAGCCTTCAAAAGTCTTTGGAGCGTATTCATAGTCCAGCCACTAAGTCGAAACTAATAAAGTTGCAAATTAAATTTAAGTACCAACTTAAAATTCACTTCTATTCATAGTCGCATTTCAGACATCTACTAAGTAGTTTTAACTAAGTTTTACGATATTGCAAAACGAGTGTGAAAATGTATCGATTTTTCTTTACGATATTTTGGAAAAATTACATTTTTATTAAATAGTGTCAAGTTTGAATATCCGTTTATGTAATTTTTACATTCGTTTTTGTGAAAGCGTTTAAAATTTTTTTTTGGTACAGTTTTCTTTGATTTGGTAAACTTTTTCTGACGTTCGGTACAATTTCGAAAAATTAATTTATCATCCCTGATCTGAAACCCGACGAAAGTTTACTGGCTTTTAAGCAACAATCCATAACTAAACTTAAGTGTCATTTAAATATTCATTTGAAAATGGTACATATTAGAGCGGTTTTCCTCTAGGAGTCAGTAAAATAAAGATGTTTTGATATTTTCTTCAACTGGTTGAGCATCTTAAAGAAAGTTCATGTGTGTATAAACCACTTCAAACAAAATAGCTTCAATAAAAAGGTATTCCCACGAGGCGATTTTGCGTTCAACTCAAGCACGAAAAAGAAAGTTGAACGGCTAATATATGTTGGCTGGCGACCAACTTTGTTGAAAGCGTTTAGTTGAAAGGCCATTCAACCAAAAGTAGAATGCAGAGTTCAACAATGCAAACGCCTTGTTATGGCGAATATTTTGATATTTTTAGCCATTCATTTTTTTTCGTGCAACCATCTCGTGCGAAAGCTCCATTTTCATTTCATTTCCGAAAAGTGACAAAGTGTTTTTGTAACTTCACTTTTCAATTTGTCTTCAAAACGCATGGATAAAGTTTTTCCGCTAACTTGTCTGACTACACCTTAAGCCTAACAAAAAGCCCTAAATGTAAAACCAAAATAATAACACGTGCATCTGTATTGTTACTTAAAGTTCATAAATATCACAATTTTTAGAATGTCATCGTCAGAAGGTGAACAATCTGAGAGCCAGTTGCAATCAGACGATGAGGAGCAGCAGGAGCTCGACTTAGACGCTAGTGACACTGATTCCGATGAAGATGATGAGAATTCCGATGACGAACTGGTCAAACCAAAATCCCTCGAGGAGAAAGTTACTGAGGAGCTTACTAAAAAGTACTCAGAACGCCAGGGTAAACAATTGTATATTCGCTTCCCCCATAAACTACCTGAGGAAGATGACGAGTTTCAGGAACAGGCAAAGACGCTGTCTCCTCTGATTGTGAAGGCTCA